CAATCGTGGCTGGTCAAGGAGATGTTTTTTTTGAATGACCACCTTACACTTAAGAATGTCCTCCATGTCCCAAAACTATGCACCAATCTTGTGTCAATCCAGAAACTCACTACAGATTCTAATTGCAGTGTGACGTTTTATCCTCTCCGTCGTATATTTCAAAAACAGGGCATGAAGAGGATGATTGGACATGCTAGGGAGAGGGATGGTCTATGTTACCTTAAAGAATCAAATGGACAAAATAGAGTTGAGAGTTTGTCACCATTACCGAGTCATTCAAATCCAATAAAGACAAGATATGGCTTCAACACCTTCGTCTTGGTCACCCATCATTTAGTGTTCTCAAAATAATGTTTCCTTCATTGTTCAAAAGTTTATACATTGAAAATTTTCATTGCGATGTATGTGAACTTGCAAAGCACAAACATACTTCTTTTCAATTCAGTAATAAAAGAACTTCTGTTCCATTTACCTTGATTCACAGTGACATTTGGGGACCTTCCACTGTTGCTAATGTTTCTGGGGCAAGGTGGTTAAAAAATAAATGATTAATCATTTATTGATGATTGCACTCTTGTGTCTTGGATTTTTCTGTTAAAAAATAAATCGGATGTGAGTTCTGTGTTTCCAACTTTTTTCAATATGGTCAAAACTCAGTTTGGTGTTGGGATAAAGAGATTCTGATCTAACAATGCTAAGGACTACTTTAATCAAATTCTCTCTCTATATTTCCAAAAACAGGGCATAATACATGAATCCTCTTGTGTTAGCACACCTCAACAAAATGGGGTGGCCGAACGAAAGAACGGCCACCTTCTTGATATTACAAGAGCTTTCTTGTTCCAAAAAAATGTTCCAAAACAATACTGGGGGGAGGTTGTTTTAACCGCTGCTCATCTCATCGATCAGCTTCCTACAAGAGTCCTTGGTTTTAAAAGTCCAATGCAGGTCCTTACACAGTTCTTTCCCAATTTTAACACATCTAATAATCTTGTTCCAAAGATATTTGGTTGTGTTGCCTTTGTTCATGTGCATTCTCAAAACAGGGGAAAACTTGATCCTCGAGCTCTCAAATGTGTCTTTCTTGGCTATTCCTCCACCCAAAAGGGCTACAAATGCTATCATCCTCCGACAAGGAGATTTTATGTGTCTGCTGATGTTACTTTTGTCGAACAAGATTAGTACTTTAACGGTCCTTATCTTCAGGGGGAGACATCTTTCATAGAAGATAAGGACAAGGATCTTTTTCTCCTTGAGTTTCCAGCCCCGATCTCTCATTAATCCGAGTCAAACGTACTCCCAAACATTCAATCCGAGCCAAACACACGGTCAGAAGCCGAGCCTCATACACCCAAATCACAAGGAGTGTTACATGGGAAGCAAACTCAAGACTCTACTTGTCCATTGCAGATTTACTCAAGGAAAAGAGCACCAATCTCTCAACTTGTGCAAGTTCAATCACCCAAATCTGCTCCTGGTAATGTCGAGGTAATTGCTCAACCCAATGATAACACTAATGAAACGTCTGAACAAAATGATTATGATGTCCCTATTGCAATTAGAAAAGGAACTCGAACTTGTACCAAACACCCTCTTTATCTGTTCATGTCATATAAGAATCTTTTTCATAACCATAGGGCCTTTCTTACTAGCTTAAATACAGTCCCTATTCCCAAAACTTTATCCGATGCATTAGGAAATGAGAATTGGGAAAATGCTATGAAGGTTGTGATGGAAGCACTTGAGAAAAACAAGACTTGGGACTTGGTGAGACTGCCTAGAGGGAAGAAGCCGGTTGGGTATAAATGGGTGTTAACAACCAAATACAACTCAGATGGCTCTTTGGAAAGGTATAAGGCAAGATTAGTTGCCAAAGGGTATACACAAACCTACGGCATAGATTATGTTGAGACTTTTGCTCCAGTTGCTAAGATGAATACTGTGAGAATCCTGTTATCAGTGGCTGCAAATTTTGGCTGGAGATTGCAGCAATTTGATGTCAAGAACGCCTTCTTACATGGTGATCTTGAGGAGATCTATATGGAGATTCCGCCTGGGTTTGGCTCAAATGAAAAGGAAGGAATGGCATGTAAGCTTATAAAAGCTTTGTATGGACTGAAACAATCCCCTAGCGCTTGGTTTAGGAGATTTACCAAAGTGATGGTGAGTATGGGATATAAGCAAAGTCAAGGTGATCATACATTGTTTGTAAAACACTCAGCATCAGGGGGAGTGACAGTATTGTTGGTCTACGTGGATGACATCATAGTAACAGGAGATGACTTGGAAGGAATGGAGAGCTTGAAGAAATAGTTAGTGAAGGAATTCGAGATCAAAGAGCTAGGAAAACTGAAGTACTTACTTGGTATTGAAGTAGCCCACTCTTAACAAGGGATTTTTATATCACAACAAAAATATGTGTTAGACTTGTTGGCTGATACAGGCAAGCTGGGATGTAAGCCAGTTAAGACACCTATGGAGTCAAACCACAAACTTTGTGATGCTCCAAAAGACGTGGCCGTGGATAAAGGCTCTTTTCAGAGACTTGTGGGGAAGTTAATTTTTTTTATCACATACCAGGCCGGATATAGCTTGTGTTGTGAGTGTTATGAGTCAATTCATGCACAATCCCAAAGAATCACATCTCAAAGCTGTGTATAGAATTCTGCAATACTTGTAGGGTACACCAGGAAGAGGAATTATGTTTAAGAAAGGGGAAGAACTGACTCTTGAAGCCTACACAGATGCGGATTATGCAGGATCCGTGATTGACAGAAGATCAACCTCGGGCTATTGCACCTTCCTAGGTAGTAACCTCATTACTTGGAGAAGCAAAAAACAGAATGTGGTTGCAAGGTCCAGCGCAGAAGCTGAATTTAGAGCGATGGCACTCGGGATATGTGAACTACTATCGCTAAGGATAATCTTGGAAGATCTGAGAGTCAGATGGGAAGGTCCAATGAAGCTTTACTGTGATAATAAATCAGCCATCAATATTGCACACAATCCTGTGCAACATGACCGCACAAAACACATTGAAGTGGACAGGCATTTTATTAAAGAGAAGTTGGATAGTGGCCTCATTTGTACTCCTTTTGTTCCTATTGGAGAACAGCTAGCAGACGTGCTTACCAAAGGATTGCCTAGTACCGTTTTTCAAAGAATAACCAGCAAGCTTGGAATGGATGACATCCATTCACCAGCTTGAGGGGGAGTGTGGGAAAATACGATTCTTTCCTCGTATAAGGAAATCGTGTACAGGCTGTTAATAGCTAGGGATTTATTAGTTATTGTAATCCCTAATTTCTAGGGTTCAGTTTTTTATATGTATTAATGTGTATCTCCAGGATTAGTTAGTTTCCTCGAATAGCATTATTCTGATGTACATATAACAGTGTATTCCCAATTCGTTAATCAATAGATTCAATTACCAATTTTAGTAATTTTGTCATCCATCACAAGAGATGCCGAACAAATGAGATACAGTAGCGAGCGGGAGCCGAGATAAGAGAACCAAGATCTAGCCGAGATGAACTCGAGAGAAATTATTGAGGAGGGATCCAAGAGAGATTGCGGAGACGAGAACTAAGATCACCGAGGAGAGATCGCCGAGAAGAGATTGCTGAGAGAAAGCCGAGTTGGAATCAAGACCGAAGAGTCTGAATAAGACTAAAAAAAAGAAATTTTAAAGAGGGATCGATTTCCGCTCTGATACCATGTTGAAAGAGAGAGAGAGAGAGAGAGAATATATGAAAACGTATATATTATTGAGTGAGCAATACAATAATACAATGGTGTTTATATAGGAGAAGCTACAGGAATAGGTGAGTGGAGAACAAGTAAACCCTATATATGGTAATTCTATATATGGTGACGAGGGGTAGTGACAACTCATGTAATACTAGTTGTACACATGTGACAATTCATACAATACTGTACAAAAACTATTTTAATATTGGTATGCAAGATTCATAGAATGGATTGACGAGGTTGATTACTTTGATTTGATTGATTTTTAAATTGTCATTAAGTTGTTATAATTAAAAATCAGTTGAAATTAGTTGGTGATTTATAAAATTATACCTATTCGCCCCCTAGGTCTAGATCATAGTCTTATGCTACTCTAATTAGAGCCTAGGGTTCGGTCCAATGCACTTCTCAGTCCATGCATGCCTTAAAAAATAATATTTATTGTTGTCTTGTATGCCAAGACTCGTACCATTAATAATACTCTCGGCCAATGATTTTGTAATATGTTGTAGAATAAAGCATCTAAGGGGTTTGGTTTTTAGGTTGGCTTGGGTTCTCAGATCTGATTTGGTTGGATCTCTTAATTTTGGATCCGTTAGAGGATTTAAATATTAAATTCACACCCTCTCTAACAACCTAAGCTTTTAGAGTAGATGATGGTTAATGTGGTATCAGAGCAGATAAGATCCTGAGTTAAAACCTCACCGTCACCTTGATAGTTGAAATTGAAACACATGTTAGACCAAACAAAGGCCACACACTAGGGGTTGCATTTGAGGATTTTAATATTAAAATTACACCCTTCTAACTGCCTAAGCTTTTAGAGTTGGTGGTGGTTAGCAAGATCCAGGGCTGAACTTACTGAAAAACTTAAATCAACCATTCAACCCAGTACCCTGTTTGTTCTAACACAAGATCTTTTAGTCATTTGTGAGTTACCAGAGGAAGAAGTTGGTTATGTTGGTACTTGATTTCTGCAAGCAAAGTTCAAGTGCAATGCTTCTGCTGCAATGCTCCTGTATCTTTAATATCTCAAGTGGAATGCTGATTGCTTCTTCAAACTACACATTCTGTCTTTATACTTCTCTGTTATTCATTTTTCATTCTTCCTTTTCAGCAAATAATTCAATGCTGGTTGTCTATCTGCTTTTGCAGCAAGATATCTCTTTTAACTTCATTTGGCGATGTTTGGATATCATTTATCGTACTATAACATCGTAACTTTATTTATGCTGTTTGTTTATGTGCAGTTTGCAGCGAAGATATGTCTTTTAACTTCATTTAGAGATTCTTGTTTCATTGAAATTATTCCACAGTATCAAGCGCCTGAACGAGGTATACTATAAATCATTCATTACTAATCACATTAGTAAGTTGAGTGAGATTGTTGAAAATTATAAATGAATCCCTCTCTCCTGTACTGTGGATTAAGGTGGTAAAGTTGCATGTTATATATAGCAGTAAACAAATGCATATATAACATACAACTCTTTCCAAGTAAACTGAAAAAGAGTTGTCAGATGTAAACCCCATCGTCCAGGTCAGACTCCTCTCGACCATGGGAATCCATCCCCATATCACACCTTGTTGACACAACTCTTCTTTTACCAATGCATTGTCACACCTTGTTGACACAACTCTTCTTTTACCAATGCATTGCATGTCTTCACGTGAGGAGCCTTTTTCCAACTCATGGCTACCCATTAATCATGATTTTCCGGGCCTTTCACGAGAGCAGTTGGGGCAGCAGGCAAGGAAATCCACAATGACCCTTCATTCATATCCAGCAACAACACTTGATGATCCGATCCAGACGCGGGTCTGCTCGCCTTTTAATGTCTCTTACCCACTCAAAGCATCTTCCATTCATATCCAGCACTCCAGAACAGCACAACAGAGACACGTGAAAGTATACACTTGGAAAGAGTTGTCAGATGTAAACCCCATCGTCCAGGTCAGACTCCTCTCCACCATGGGAATCCATCCCCGTATCACACCTTGTTGGCACAACTCTTCTTTTACCAATGCATTGCATGTCTTCACGTGAGGAGCCTTTTTCCAACTCATGGCTACCCATTAATCATGATTTTCCGGGCCTTTCACGAGAGCAGTTGGGGCAGCAGGCAAGGAAACCCACAATGACCCTTCATTCATATCCAGCAACAACACTTGATGATCCGATCCAGACGCGGGTCTGCTCGCCTTTTAATGTCTCTTACCCACTCAAAGCATCTTCCATTCATATCCAGCACTCCAGAACAGCACAACAGAGACACGTGAAAGTATACAGAGGTGAAAAAGCAAGAATAGGGAGTAGAGCTTGTTCTTCCATTCTTTCACTTCGACACGTCGCTATGCCAAGAGACGGAATCTGCGGCTAATGCATAAGAGCTCTTTCCCAAGACCATGCTAACTTCCCCTTTAGCAGAAGATGATAAAGGGCCAAAGGGGATGCCTTCCCCTTAGACCGTACCTCCCGAAAGACTAAAGAGTTCCCCAATGTGAAACCTATAAGGCTGGCTTTTGAAAGTAGCCATGAGAAATAAGTAGTACCTGGCATGAAATCCCATATCGGCCGGCACTTGCTAATCGTCTTTCTGCCCCAACCTTCCCTGGTCCTTACTTCTGTATGTTATGAAAACAAATAAGCCTTTACTAGACTATTCCACCTGCACTTCCTTCTTACTTGAGGGCTAGCCCTTCGTGATGAGTCCTTATCCTAAATTTGTAATTAGCCTTGGGCGACCATGAGCCAGCAACAATAGTTATTTCACTGCTTTTAAGAAGTGCGGCAGGTAGAGCACACGTATTGATATAGTTTTCCCTTTGTTAGTAGAAAAGAAGACACTGGCATCCCCCCTGGGTCAAGTTAAGGCTCCAGCCATCGAGCGCTATTCCTAGTTTCAAACTCCACCAGAGGAAGCAGCAACTGGAGACACTCGCTGAGAAGTCGAGTGGGGACGAAGGAAGCGTTATTATTCAATTAAGCATGTGTGGCTGCCAGGACTATTTACGAACCAGAAGACGCTTTATTCCTTCCATCGACGAGGCAAATCAAGCACGTAAAGGGATGGGCTGAGCTTGATCTTGTTGTCTTATATGCCTGTCTTTCTGCCTTCGCTTGTGCGTGCCTCTTCCTTTTATAGTTATCACTCACTTCTTGCAGCTCTGGGCTTTCTGGGATTCGATACATCTTTCCGTAGGGGAGGGGTTCTCAATCTTGTTGTACGAAATAGATTGTTTGATGAACAACTCGCGTCATCGTTGACCTCATTGCCGGCGAATAAATATAGAGAGTTTAATTACCTTCAAGCCGGGCATTCAAGAGCTGCAGTTAACGAGTGAGAACATGATGTCACAGAGCGGTGATGAAAGATTCTGGTCATTGCTCTCTGGGCTACACTTTTGTTTTGGTGAATTACCTCGCACTCAAAGGACGCTCCTGTCCATCGAGCATTTGAAGCTTCTTTTCCTATCCTAGGCCGGAACAAGTTGATAGGAGCTTCCCCACGTCCCAATAGTCCCCCGTAGAAAGGGGGCATACACCAAGCTACAGGGTGAATCCCTAAGGTTGAGTCTCGAAGTTGCCTTGCCCGAAACACATATGGCTAAAGTGTAAGAGACGGAAATGAGACAAGATTCAAAGTTTTCCAAGGCAGAAGTCAATATGTCCTATTCTACTGTCCTATAGCGGATTCATGAGTGAATATATGCCTTATTTGGTTGAGCTCGCGTTACCTGTAAGATAAGCGAGTCCAATGGACATTGCCTCTCTGCTAAAAGACGATTGATAAAGGGCTGCACGGACCAAAGTCATTTCTTTCTTCATTAACTTAAAACAAAAAACAGATTTATACCTATATGTCTTCACAAAGTAAAGGAAAACCCAGCCACTGGGATCCGTATCTGCACTTTCTGATGGAAGAATTTGGAGTTCTTTTAGATAGCTCATATCCATTGGATCAGCTATGCAGATTAACATGATTAGATAGGATGAATTCTTTGGGGCTGAAGCTCAGCGTAATGATGCATGAAACCAACCATCTCTCAAAAAGAAAGAAAAAACTTCCAGTTTTTGCTACAAAGCAAAAGGCCAAATGACCAGATGAGTAAGCAGCGTGGTAGCAGGAAAGCTAGTGAAGCCCTTTCCAGACCAGCCCAGGTGAAGAGAATCAAAAAAATGGAGCTCTTGTGTTTGGCGGGGGAAAGAGTGAAGTTGGCATTTAAGTGCCCTTTCTCAAAGCTGTCTCGTGCTTGAAGATGTACCCTTTTCGGAATCAAAAAGCGGATAAAGGCTAGCGCTGATATCAATGATTGATGGTCATGGACCTACACATACGACTAGTACAACTGACGGTCTGGTCATTCCAGCTTTTCAGTTTAGTGGCCCCCTCTATTGATAGGTAAGGCAGGATGAGGAAGAATGAAGTCAACCTTTCGGGCTTTGGTTTCGACAAAAAGGAGACCTATCTGCTGTAAACCTTCCATTTTTCAATTGAAAATAACAGGGGTTTATGACGTCGTATGCTCCTCTAACTGTCCTAAGGGTTTGAAGCCCAAGACCCAAAAGAAGAGGGATGACGGCAAGGGATGCCCTTGCCTAGATGGGAGAACTTTCTGCAACAACAAGAGGCTAATGCGCTCTATTAACAAGCGATACGGGAACAGATGCGGAAATAGCATATAGCTATGGAACTCTTTTTTCTAGTTTCTAGTCAGGTCAAGAACTCCTTTCCCGGCTTCGTCAATATAAGGTCTGGTGTGAGATCTATCAAGATACTGAGTTGAGTGGTCTGGATACGGACCCGTCGCGCGAGTCTTCATCATATGTCATTTATTCTTTTCGCCGGCAAATCCTCACTCTTTTTGAATTCAAATCCACAGGACTTTTTTTTTTTCCTAGTTGGTACTCACACACACTTGTCTCTTCTGAGACTTGAACCCCTGACCTCCCTTTGAGAAGTAAGAGGCTGATACCACTAGGCCACGTGCTCGTTGGTTATATCCACAGGACTTTATAATGTAATGCTGAAATAACCCATGTCGATTGGTAGAATTCACAACGTTTGATCGTTGACCAGAGAAGAAAGAAAGAGATGAGTTAAGAAGAACCCTACCCTACAACCGTGGCATGATCTGATCTAGCCTTTACTTTCTCATTTCATCTACGTATCGAACGTAGTAAATGCTCTCTTCTCTTCGCATGAATTCCTGGATTTGCAGATCAAGTTTATGCATCAAAATATTCATCAATACCGGTGACAGGGGGCTTACCCACGGTATTCCTTTAGATTGGTTCGAATAATTTGTTCCCCGGTTGTCCACTATTTGACTTTTTAGAAAAGCCAATATGAGATTACATAAAGGTATATTCTCTTTTCCTAAGTAGTCTTTAAGAAGGTCTATTAGTTTTCCATGATCTTATGTTATCAAAACATTGGACGACATCTTATTTAATGAGTCTGTCCACTGGACCCGATCCCTCTAATTGAATAAAAAATGTAATAGTCCCTCTCCTTTTTCGAAAACTGTGAGATTCCGGCACGAAATGAACTTCAAGAATGAGATTTAAGAGCCTTGAAATGGCTTCCATCACAATTCTATCCGCCAGGCTGGGATCCGGATCGGGTTAAGTAATCGCCCGCATCTGCCCCGGTTTGTTTGGCTTTGGTGTAAAGTATATGTACATTGACCAAAACAGAAAGTGTCATTCAAGAGTGACTTTTTAACCGATTCCAATTCCCTTTAGGGCGTTAGCTCTTTATACTTGGGCTTAGCCTTCCAAAGATGGTCAATAATTCTGACTGCCTTCTCCAGCAAGCCTTTCTTCTTAAGAGTCATTGATTCGTCCATGAGAATAGTGAAAAGATTGCGCTCTGTATCAAGCGTATTATCCACTGCTGGCCCACCCCTAGTTCCGCCCCTGCCTGTGGCTACCTTATTTGTTACGGCCGCTAAAGGAATTCCCCCGCCCTCCTTGCCCCATGTGTCATGGGCGCGCCTTCTCATTCCGACCGGTTAACTTGGCTCAGGAAAGTGCGATGATGTCACCCCGCGAGGGGCTATGTATCTTGAATCGCCAACAGGATGGCCTATACTATACTATATATGGGATGTGTGGCATATTTCACCTCCATCAGTGCGGTTGTCTCCCGAAATGCAATGGTTTATTTCGGACGCGTGACTGTTCCAGCGGGAGGGATACAAACGGGGCAGGTTCGGACTACGCAGCGGATAGCCTACCTTCTCTATTCACAGATCTGAGTTGGTAATAGAGAGACCAGGAACTTGGAGAACCCCCTAGCCAATAGAATGATGCTAGGGGCACTGCCTTCTCCTGCCCGACTCACTTTCTCGTTTAAGGAGTGGCCCTGAATGGCTGGTTCAGCCGATGATTACGCTCATCCACTTACCCGGCTACCACGACAAGCTCGTCTTCTTTTTGTTGGCCGCCTCGCTACGACGGCCAGTTGCAATGTCCACTCGTCTCGATATATTCAGATCAAAAAGAAGAAGAAAAGGGACAGATGAGGGAGCGAGAGTCTCTCCTTGTAGGGGGGTGCACGGGAACGACCCATGTAGTCCACTACGGACATTATATTAGAACTTCACTTCATTAAAATTGAAACATGCAACTTTACCACATTAATCCACTACTTTCCGGACATGTGGGGCTACAAAACCGGCCAAGCTCCATTTTTCTTTTCTTTCTTTTATTTTTTTGCTTTTAGTTCTTTTAATCAAATCAAGGTGTCGTTGTAGGCAGAGTTGGTAATCAATATGCTGAATAGTGGCGTGGAGATAAAACAGTAATTAGCCAGAAATTTGAAAATGAGGGGTTTACGTACTTAGATATGGGGAACGATGATCAAAAAACAAGAGAACTATAAAATGTTGGGGTCATAGAACCTACCGACATCTTCTAAATTGTTTGGCATTGAATTTCTCGCGATGTGTAGTTGTTATGTCTTTCCTTTATCGATTTTGATGGCGATATATTTGTTTATTACAAAATGTGTACTCTGCAAGAACATATTCTTATGGTTCAACTTTTTGCTATCGTGCTGCAGAGCTTTGGTTAAGTTTCTGGTCCGAGGTGCATTACAATTCACTTTATGAAATCAAAGGTTCATTTTACTTTCAAACTTGACTTCATTACTGTGGAACTCATAATGATATATGGTAGGAGAAGATAGTGAAATTTGATAATCTGAGAAATGGCTTTGTTTTGCAGATGCTCCAATGCGGAATAAGCCGAGAAAGAAACACTGGCTGTTCTAGAGAAAAAAACATATATTGTTACTGTTCTAGCATTAAGATGGTTGTAAAAATTTTGTACCATGGATTTTTTTCTATACATGTAATTATTGTGTTTAATTTAATGATTTTATTTATTTCTTTATTTCTTTATTTTTACTATATCGTTTCATGTGTGAGTATTAAAACCTGCTATATATCTTTGTTTATTTAATATTATAAGAATACATTGATTCCTACTGAGGTAGAATTGACATAATTTATCCTAAAGCAATGCAAATAAAAATATAGTGGTCTGCATATTAATTACTGCTTTGAGTCATTTTTTTATTTTTCATTTCTTCAAAGATGATGATGTCGGGCCTTTTAAAGGACTTGTAATCTTAGAGCACTCCTTAAGTCTAGTTGATGAGAAGGCCGTTGTGTGCGTAAGATGTTATTTGATAAAATTAAAAATTAAGTATTGAAAATTTTGAGTGAGAAATTTATGTATTGAATATGAATGGAAAAATTCTTCGATACTTGTGCTGTATTTGGTGTGCAAGAAAGGAATTGAATGCCCATTTTAACCATTTCTTTGTTTAGTATGCAATTTAAAGTGAGAATGGTCATTCCATTAGAATGAAAATCCATTCCACAACTAAACTGGAATGGCCATTCCATTCCTAAGTAAATTTTTTTAAAAAATTAGCTTTCCAAAAAACCCTCGTGTTCTAAGTCTGAAAATAACTATTATCTTTCACCAAAACCATCTCTGCTTTTCACCACTACCACCGCTTTCCACCACCGCCACCGCCTTCCTTTGCAGCAACCACAACTGTTACCGTTTTTCATCACTGCTACCGCCACTACCACCACCACTGCTTTTCACCACTGCTACTACCACCACGGCTACCGCCATCCATCGCCACCACCTTTCACCACCACCATCGCCATTGCCTTTTACCATAGCCACTGCCACCGCCTTCCATCACCATTACCCCCTTCCATCACCGCCTTTCACCGTTGCCTTACACAACCATCGCCTTACACCACCACCATTGCCATCATGCCCACCGCCTTTCACCACCACCACTGCCACCGCCCTCCACTATCACCACCGCTTCCACCATCACCACCGCCTTTTATCACCTTCCATCACCACCACCGCTATCTCCACTGCCTTCCACCACAACCATAGTCACTTCCATCGGCTTTCACCATCATCACCTACACCACTATCTCTTCCACCACCACCACCACAGTACTACTATCGCCTTCCACTAACACCATTGCCGCCTTCCACACCACCGCCGCCTTTCAGCACACCACTACTGTTTTCCACCTCCACAACCATCCATCACCGCCACTATCAACATTTATTTTTAAAAAATTATTAGATAATGTCATTTTGTTAATTTAATTTATTTGTCACTAATAGGAATATTTTTGTGAAATGACTAAAAAGGTTTTGCCGGTGCTAGAGAAAATGATGACTCCTATTTCGGTGTCACACAGAATGGCCAGCTGTCCCGCCTAATATGTTAACCTTACACACCTTCTCTATCTTCTTCTATTATTCTATTAACAAAAATAATTAGTAAAATATTGGAATAGAACATTTAAACCCAGTTTATATGTTCGTGATGCAGTGTTTTCGAGCCCACTCTTCCCTCTCTCTCTCTCTCTCCAACCTAACCCCATTTCCTCTCTCTTTCTATCTCTACCCCACCCTCCAATCACAACCTCAACATCTCACTACCACCACCCAGTTGTGTCGAGGAACGGGGATGTAGGACGGCGATGGTTTGAACCGGTGATGAGGCGGACAAAAACGATGGCGGCAGAGATGTCTTCGGCGAGGATGGCGGTGCTCTGAACCGGCGGCGGCGACGGAGAACTATCTGAAAAGTAAGCTCGACAAACACATCTCATCGCCGGCCAGTTGTGTCGCCGCCGTCCTCAAAGCTGCATATCGCCACATCGTTGGACGCCGGTATCGGTAAGTTCAGATCCCTCGTGTATCGCCGCCGCTGTTCCTAGCTCGCCCGATACATTTCATCGCCGTCCAGTCCTTGTGCCGGCAGTGGTGCTCTTTCCTCTCCGATTTACAAACCCGATCGTCAACCACCTCTCCCCACCGACCCTATTGAAGCCCAAAATCAGAACTTCCTCCACCCAGGTCAAATTTTGGATCTTCCCTTCAAGCTCTCAATGAGATCCGAATTTAAGTTTGCAAATTTATGTCATATTTTTATAAGACAAATTGGCATTTTTAAACCTGTTTTTTATAAGTTGGTGGTGGTCACCACCTCCGAGAAATGGAGAAAGATATATAGATTAGATGTGTGTATATATATATATACACAGATATATGTATATATATGTATATAGAGAGAGGAAGAGAAATAAGAGAGGATAATTATTGGAATTTGGAAGAGATAGAAAATCGAAATTACAGAAAAAAGGAGAAAAGAAACTGGAAATTAGTAGGGAGGAATGTTTGGAGAGAGTTAGAGAGTTGCAGAGGTCCTTGTTGCCGGAGGTGCAGAGAAATTGTTTGATTTATCTAGGGGCATTTTTGGAAGAGTAAAATGAGTATTATATTAATTGATGGTCATTTTTGTACAAATTAAAAAGAATAGGGATATTTTTTGTATATTTTTTTAAATAAAGAATAAAAATGTTATAAAATGTTTAGTGCTTCTTGCACTTATCCCAATTTTAAATTAGTCTAACCAAATCCTAAAATGATTATTATCATTTTATTTCTACATAATTTTTATTTATAACCAAACAATAATCCAATAAAAATGACCATTATATTTCCACTTGCATTTCTTTCTATTATATCGTACCAAATGGTGCGTTAGTGTTTGGTAATACTGGAGTGACCAAGTGCTTGATCAGCTTTTAAAAGGACAGTTTCTAATAATTGTCACTTTTTTGCATGATACCTATGTTGTATTAGTAAGGAACACTAAATTAAATAAATATTTAATATTTAATTTATCGAGAATTAAACACCCACTTAAGTTATCAAATATTAACCGTAGAACACATTAATTTTCCCCTAGTTTTTGATCTCTCTTTTTAAAAGCTCACAAAGAAGCTAGTTACGCTCTCTATCAACAATCCTATAATTAAATGATCACCTAATTTTATATTTTCAGAATTGAAGTAATGGTGTATAGAAAAATGAGGAGAGCTTATAAAAATCTTATTTTAAAACAAAAATAAGATTACCCTCACCTCCCTTGAATAATGAAAGAATCTCTTCGTGCAAATTTTTTTTTTCTTTTTAGGAAAAAATACAAAGAAGAAAGTTAGTGTCAACATAATAATAGTCTTATTATAATGATGAGTATGTTAATAATAGTCTTAAGATTCTTTTTTTTTTTTTTTTAAGGAAATCCTTGGATTGAGACAAACATTTGCACAAAGAGAATCCGACTCTTCTTGATGTCTCTAGTCGAATTCAAGTTGAAATAGAGAAATGGTGTTTTTACTGATAATAATGAATTTTTGAAATTATAATTGTGATGGTTTGGCGAGAGTCTTTCTCTCTTCCCTTTATGAATTTATTCAACAAAAGATTCTCCAAATGTGGAAAAATACTACCTTAGATTAGGGACATTGAAAAATCTAGGTTAGGTAAAATACATATTTCAATTTAGAAAACCTAAAACTGTGAAAATAGATGCAAAATATCATTTTAAAAATTACTAATAACAACAAAGTTTGTCGCAATTAACATACTCATTATTATAATAAGACACTATTATTATATTCACAGTAACTTTCTTCTTCGTGTATGTATATATTTTTTTTCTATCTTGGAAACCCATAGATTGAGACAAACATTTGCACAAAGAGAATCCGACTCTTCTTGATGTCTCTCATTGAAGTCGAATTCGAATTGAAATAGAGAAAGAGAAATGGTGGTTTTACTAACAATAATGAATTTTTAAAATTATAATTGTGATGATTTGGCGAGAATAAATTGCATCTTTCTCTATTCCCTTTATGAATTTATTCAACAAAAGATTCTCCAAATCTAGAAAAATACTACCTAGGATTAGGTAAGTTGAAAAATGTAGGTTACGTAAATACATATTTTAACCTCACCTCCCTTGAATAATGAAAGTGCCCTCTTGATTGACATGTGGCAATTAACATACTCATCATTATAACAAGACACTATTATTATGTTCAGAGTAACTTTCTTCTTCGTATTTTATTTTTTATTTTATTTTTTTCCTATCTAGAAAACTCATGGATTGAGACAAACATTTGCACAAAGAGAATCCAACTCTTCTTGATGTCTCTCGTCGAATTCGAGTTGAAATAGAGAAATGGTGTTTTTACTGATAATAATGGAAATTATAATTGTGAAGGTTTGGGAGAGTCTCTCTCTCTTCCCTTTATGAATTTATTCAACAAAAGATACTCCAAATATGGAAAAATACTACCTTAGGGACGTTGAAAAATCTAGGTTAGGTAAAATACATATTTCAATTTAGAAAACCTAAAACTACGAAAATAGATGCAAAATATCATTTTTAAATTTTTTTTTTTTTTTATCTAGGAAACTCATGGATTGAGACAAACATTTGTACAAAGAGAATCCGACTCTTCTTGATGTCTCTTGTCGAATTCGAATTCGAATTGAAATAGAGAAAGAGAAATGGTGTTTTTACTAACAATAATGAATTTTTTAATTTATAATTGTGATGATTTGGCAAGAATAAATTGGGGTCTTTCTCTATTCCCTTTATGAATTTATTCAGCAAAAGATTCTCCAAATCTGAAAAAATACTACCTTGGATTAAGTACGTTGAAAAATGTAGGTGAGGTAAAATACATATTTCACTTTAGAAAACCTAAGGGTGTGTTTGGTATGGTTGATTCGGAGGGATAGAGAAAGAAAAGAAAGAATAGTATAGAAGTGTGTTTGGGTGGGTAAGTGAAGAAAAAAGAGAGGATAAGGAGAGAGTTATCTATCCCTATCCCTCATTTGATTTCTTTCTTTTCTCTTCTCTTCTATATCTATTTAAATATAAATAAAAATTATTAATATTTTTTTTTTCTTTTCTTTCTTAATTAATATTATCATTTCTTTTTTTTCCTTTTCCCCTTTCATCCAAATGCACACCCTAAAGCTGCGAACATAGATGCAAAACGTAATTTTAGAAAAAATACTAGTAATGACGTTTGATATGTTTCGAAGTATGCCAGATGGCAAAATGATAATTGACGGTGAC